CGGAATGACACAGTAGTTACGAATGGGATTGAAACCAATTCGGCACATACCGACAACTTTCGATGTACATTCCAAGACAAGTGTTATCCATTTGGAAGCTGTTCGCTTCGAAGTTTCAATTATCGAGTTTAGGCAAGTCGTAAGGGATAATAAGTCTTTTTATTGCATGAACAAGAAGCAAAACTGAGTTAGTGCATATGCCCCGATATACACTAAGCGCCAAAGAAACGTTACCCTTCTACCTTTATGAATTACTTCAAAACTATCAAAGATATGTGAGGTGGTATTAGTTTGAAGAAAGCTTAACAACACAGCTTTATGCGAATCACGAAAACAATTCTCAAATGCATTTATATTTGGGTGAAATGCATCTTTTCAGAAGGAGTTAAATTGTCCTATTTTAGTCCATGCCGAAATAAACCAAATAACAGTGATTTAGATGTCCAAAGAAAGGTTGAAATAAAATTCTACTTTGAGACAAAGATAAACCCCAGCGAGCCGTGCTTCACCCACTCCTCTAGGGCTGGGACCGGTCTGGCGCGACGAGAGTCGCCGGGCCAGTATAAGCAAACGACGAGACTCTTTGGACAACTCACAGCTTAGTTAGCGGGGTGACCGAGGCCGGGCATCAGCAGCCGGTACCAAGCTAAGTACACATTTCGTTATAGATGGAAAACTCAATAAAGACAATATCAACAATTAATGACAATGATAACGATAACAACGGTGAAAAAAAGTAATTATAATACATTTCTATGTTGGAACGTAAATGGCCTTAATTCTAAATTAAAATCAATTGGCTAACCTCACAGGGTTATGTCAACAATTTAATAATCATCGCTCGTGGAGACGTGGGCAAAGAACCCAGTAGATTTTGCTACTCTGTTTCCAGGATATATCTCCTACCAGTGTGTGCGAGAACGCATCCACTCTGTCGGACGATTCAGTGGCGGTATCGCTGTGTATGTGAGACAGTCCATCGCATCAAAGATTCACCCGTATACACGGCGAGTGGTCAGACTGTATATTTTTTCAGAAGCGACATTATGAACGACCTCGCCAATAAAACCCACGATATTGGGTTCGTATATGTAATGATACATGCAGAACTCCGTTGATGTAGGACTTTCAGGAATCGGACTCCTTGAGAGTAGACTATATACTTTAACCCGAGAACATCCCGATGCATCGCTTGTTTTATTTGGAGATTTTAATGCCCGTATAGGCGACAAACAGTGTTATATAGAACAGCGACTCCACTGAGTATTTACCAATTGAAGATATAGACTATGTGTGATCCATTTAACATTTCCTAGATCATCAAAGATAAAATAGTCAATTCAGAGGGATTAAAACTCCTTGATATAGCATGCCGCAATTTTAACATACATGTTTTAAATGATAGAAACGGGAACGATAAAAATGGAGAATTTACATTCATTGGACACCAAGGAAACAGTGTTGTGGATTATTGTTTGGTTTCCTCATGTTTATATAGATATTTCGAGAACTTTGATATTCTAGCGCAATCCGAATCGGACCACTTGCCTGTAATAGTAGATATGAGAAAACATCACATGACATGACACGACGTGACAGCAATCACTCCGAGGTATGCGCGATGCAGAGGTACCACAACATTAAGACAGAGCTGTGGGACGCTAGCCGTGTAAGGGTGAGTTTATTCAATACATTTCAGATAATATTAACCAAATTCAGCATAATATTTCATGATGTATTACATGACAGTGTTGAAGGTGCTATTACATCGCTGAATGACTTTATCCGTAGAGAGCCATACATGCACCCAGGAACAAACACACCGACCCACGAGAACGCGTGCACGCTCACGCTCACGCTTCACGCGCTCACAGCACACGTGTACAGCCCAGGTGGTTCGACCGTGAATGCGAACAGGCTAAAAGGTATAAGTATGTTTTTACTAAATAGATTCAGAAAATCAAATAACTCACTGCATTGTAAAGCATTATCTAAGGGCAAAGAAAGGATTTTAAAACACTTGCTGTGATAGAAAGAAATCAGATTATGAAAAAAAGCATTTTAAACGAAATTGTTGATGCTGCAAAGAAACAAGACTGTCGACATTTCTGGAAATCTATAAAGAAATATTGTTTTGTAGGGAAAATATATCTGAAAATATATCAGTTGACGAATGGTTTAACTGTTTCAAAAATCTGCTCGCTGGAGATACGAACAACATTGATAATTCCTTTAGGGGAACATGTTCTTAGCTATATAAGTAATCAGAACTTTAATGACTGTGAGAGTTGTATTACTTCTGATGAATACCTTGGTAATCGTATAACTGATAACGAGATATTGTGTGCAGTAAAAGTCTGAAATGTGGAAAATCACCCGGGGTAGATGGTATTCAAGTTGAAGTTTTTAAAGAATGTATTTCTTTATTGCTTCCTTTTATGAATAGTCTATTTAATCGAGTTCTAGACAGCGGCGTTTTTCCAGATTCCTGGAATGTAGGATTAATTGTACCTCTGCATAAGTCAGGTGAAAGGGTGATCCAAACAAGTATAGAAGTATTGCATTATTGAATACACTAAACAAAATATTTACCACTATATTAGATAATCGCATTAAGGCTTGGATTTCCACTCGTGAACTTTTATCTGAGTGCCAAGCGGGATTTCGAGAAGAGTATTCAACTACGGACCATATATTTACTCTCAACAGTATTATCCATAAATATCTGCGGAAGAAAGGGGAAGTTTTATTGTCTTTTCGTAGATTTTAAGAAAGCGTTTGATTCCGTTAATAGGTCAAAACTGTTATATGTACTACTACAGTCAGGTATACATGGCAAACTCCAACGTCTTTTACGTAATATGTACACCAATGTGAGAGCATCTGTTAAGAACCAGTAAATTTCAAATGAGTGATATATTTGATACATATGCCGGAGTGAGGCAAGGTTGCATTCTATCACCTGTACTTTTCCTGTTATGTGTTGAAGAACTTGTTAAGGAAATGTTATTAAATGATACGAGAGGTGTATTTATTAACGAACATATCAGAGATCTTGCAATAATGCTATTTGCAGATGATGTCGTGATTCTTGCCGATTCTGTTGTCCAGTTACAATGCAAGATAGATACTCTAAATGAATATTGTTTGAAATGAGGGTCTTCAGATAAATATTAGTAAAACTAAAGTAATGGTTTTAAAAATGGGGGTAAAATCTCTAAAAGTGAAAAATGGTTCCTTAATGGCCAAAAATTGGAGGTGGTGTCATATTACAAATATTTAGGTATAATATTTTCGTGTAGAAATATCTTCTCAGAGCCTGTGAAACATTATCTATGCAAGCTGAACAGCCCTACATGTCATAAAAGAAATTCATATGCAAATATAAAGAATTACCGATCCATGCATCATTTAAACTGTTTGATGGAAAAATTCAACCAATTTTGTTGTACGGCTCAGAAATATGGGGCATTAACATAAACAAGAATATTGAAAAGGTACATTCAAAGTTCTGTAAGTTCTTGTTGCGTGTTGGCTACAACAGAACTGCGAACAAGGTTATTTTAGCTGAATGTGGACGTTTTCCACTGTTTATTAACGCCCGATGTCGGGTTATTTCATATTGGCTAAGATTGATGAGACAACCAATTTCACGATGTTCAAGATGTAGTTATAGAAATGCTTAAAACACTAGATGATACCGGAGATATTAATTGGGTTTCATTCGTTAGAACTATTCTTTTTAGTCATGGCTTTGGAAATGTATGGATCGCCCAAAATGTAAGTAATACACAATATTTCATCAAATTATTCAAGCAGAGATGCAAAAGACATTTATCAACAGGACTGGTATAATGAAATAACGTCATCAACCTGTGTTAACTTTTATTCCAGAATATAAATATTGTATTAATACAGAAATTTACCTTTCAAAGATTAAATCACCACAACTTAAGCGTACTCTTACTAAATTTAGATGTAACGCTTACAACTTCAAAGTCCAAGCGGCGCGATTTGCCAAAACTTCAAATGCAATAGATATCCAATGTCCATTCTGCAATTTATCACAAGAAGATGAGTACCATGTATTACTTGTATGCCCGAAATATTTAGAAATAAGAGAAACATATTTGCCTTGTTTTTCTATAACCAACCGTCGAGACATAAATTCTGTATGCTACTTCGCACAGAAAACATTGACTTGTTGTTTTAAGCTAGCCCTTGTGTTGTACCACATACTTATGTTGAGAGAAAAATGTAAATTGTGAATGGGTGTTTATGGATTTATTGATGTTCCTATAACTCGCGTATTTACAGGTTGCGCATAAATGCACTGCTATTATTGTACACATGTACTATTGGCCTCAGGGCCACATATACAAATAAATATGTCTGTCTGTCTGTCTGTCTGTCTGTCTAAACCATTTAAAGTCACCATTTTCAACTATTAAAACAAGAAACGAATGTTGTAGAGTGTGTAAAATTGAAAATAAACGCTCCTATGATTTCAGTCTTTTAAAACATTTTCTGCTGATTTGCATCAGTGAAAACAAGTAAAACGAGTCGTTGATATTGTGAAAACATGTTTGGAACATCTAAAATTATCTTTGCTAACATTTTTGCTTGCAAAGTAACATTTTTCCATTTTCTGTTTACACATAGCAATATCAATCGCCAAAACGCAGCAATATTCAAACATTATTTGCATCCATTTCTCGTATAGAATGATTCTATAGGGTATAAAGAGAGACTAGAATGCATGATATGATACACAAGTACGAGAAATTTGCCACGATTAACAGCTGAGAGAGAGAGCAGAGCCATTGGGAGGGTGGTGCAGATGGGGCTGACATACAATGCTGTTGCCAACGCCCTCGGATGCCACCGTATCACGGTTATAAGACTTCTTCAGGGGTTTCAGCAGACAGACTGAGGTCACCGCAGACAGACCAAGAAGTGGACGTCCACGCATCACACCGCCAGCTGTAGATAGGTACCTCCGTCATTAAGGAAGGAGGGTAACGTTTCCTTTGGCGTTTAGTGTATACATAATATCGGTCCAAATATTGTCGAAAATGTGTGACATTGTGCCTTTAAGGTTGCAGTTGAACAGACTAAACGTACAGCTTATACTGTACGACCGATTCACTTTATCCTTATGTATTTCAAATGGAATATATAGTTAATGATTCAAGTGTTTTCAGATCTGAACTTGAAAAACGCAGAAATTTTTTCAAAGAATGACATGGTATATTTTGTGTGGACAATGTTATGTTGCAGTGGTAGTCATTATCTAACGATGTTCCAGGTGTACTACAATGTACATGCAGATTCAGTAATTGGCAGGGTGTACTGTATTTAGACTTGTACTAGATTTAGATTTGGAATGCACTACAGTTTGCTGGTCTCAGAGTATACTACCTCAGAGAGTATTGAAGAAACTTCTGTTCTTGGAGCTCTTGCCTCTCATCTCACATGGAATCTAAAAGTGGTCAGTTACCCAGTTATCCTAAGACCAGTATTGGTTAGGATGATCATTACACCATGCCTAAGACTATTTTACAATTTGGAGTACTGTTGTCTGGAGATGAATATCAACAACATTGCTTCATTGCTATGACGAATAATATTACAATCATTGCCGCTTTATTTTGTAATGTCACTGTAATATCTGTGTAGTGGTTGGTATTAACTTGTTAACTTAGTTCATTTTAGAAATACATCCGGGATTCGAACCCACCAACGCACACCCCCTCCTCTCTTTCTCCAACCCAACACACACACACACACACACACACACACACACACACACACACACACACACACACACACACACACACACACACACACACTTCCATTTTGTGGATACCGCGGTGGCTGAGCGGTCTAGGCGCCTGACTTTGTGTGCTGGCGATTAGGTGCCTGACTCTGAGGGTGTCGGTTCGAATCCCGGATGGGACTCAGCCCCCAAAAGTACTAGAATCTGTACTTTACTGAGAAAGTGTAATCCCAAATATAACATATGTTACATTTTAGAATGCACTTGTCAATTATACCACATTGATTTGTTATTTGGTAGTGCCACCCAAAGCTCGCTCGGGTACTGATTTCCAGATAATTATTGTATTAGTTTCGGCTCAGGAATCAAGACGTAACAATTAGGATTCAAAAGGCCAACTTCGTGCAGACAAACCATTTCAGATATCAATACTCTATGCAAGCACATTTTGATTGTAACTGCATGAACAGGATATCACGTGATGAATATTGACGCCGTCTCAGCTGCTGCACAGGCTCTCTAAGCGTTGACTGTTTACAGACTTAGCGGCAACATGTCGAGTTGCAAACAACGTATAAAGGTTGATGTATCTGTAACATCTAGGTTTTGTTTGACATATTCTTTTTTTATTGATCAAGCATTCAGTACATAATTGAAACTGAAATTACAGACACGGTTATGAATGTCATTTCCGTCAGTTTCAACAGCTGGCTTGACGTGGTTATTGCTTGACATTGTAACGATGACATTTGACGAAGAGGCAGTTGTTTCACTTTCTAATGCAATACAGTCAGTGAGTGAGTTTAGTTTTACGCCGCTTTTAGCAATATTCCAGCAATATCACGGCGGGGACACCATAAATGGGCTTCACACATTGTACCCATGTGAATCGAACCTGGGTCTTCGGCGTGACGAGCGAACGCTTTAACCACAAGGCTACCCACCGCCCCTAATTCAATACAACCACGGGGAATCCATTCTCGCTTTAATTCTCTCATTTATAAATCTAGAGAAATCTGTGCTAAAAGTACACCGTCCTTTAAGCGATTCTGACCAAGCATAGGCATGTGGTTGTGTCGCTCTCAGTGATGACACCAGGTGTTCGCGAAAAGGTAAGTTTGTAATGCAAAAGCAAAACAATTGTCCATTCCGCAAAACATGGGAAAACATGGTCAGAGTGGACAATGCATCGGGCATGTTTTTCACTAATGCGCAACGGTTTACTCAGGCCTTTAATGTAGCGAACCTTCTGAGAAAAGATTTCGATTTACAAACTCAAGTATATAATTATTCAGTTTCCTAGGCATGTTCAATATTTGTGGGAAGGTATATTCAACAAATTACAAAGGGCGCTTAGAAATGCTTTCCAAAGGCACACAGTCAATTACATGTAAACACAGCTTGGTGTAAACTTATCGTTATTCAGGACATGTGTTCCGTTGGGTGAGTTACTTAAACATTTGATACTAAGGAGACGGCTGGGGCATACTTTCCAATTTCCATATTTATCTTTATATACAGAGATGATCGATCTGCATGTTGAACGTTTTACATCATTTTGTAGACGGTAGACGGCAGATAATACCAAATGCGTATGGACGTGGAGACATATAATATCTTTCCACACGATCCGTTCTGTTTTAGTTGAGCGTGTACGTTAGCCACGATGAAGGTGGTCATCTGCTTAGCTTCTGTGATACTCCTGGTTGGACTAAGTCATCAGCAATCTAAAAAGGTAAGTGAACTAGAGTTATGCTGTTCTTGTTGTTGTCATTACTGACTGACTGACTGAGTTTAGTTTTACGCCGCTTTTAGCAATATTCCAGCAATATCACGGCGGGGGACACCACAAATGGGCTTAACACATTGTGCCCATGTGGGAATCGAACCCGGGTCTTCGGCGTGACGAGCCAACGCTTTCACCACTAGGCTACCCCACCGCCCCGTTTCATTACTAGAAGTGATATGATATGACAGTTCCTCTACCTCAAGTTCGATATTAGTTCAGTAAGTGTTGTAGAACTAAGTTTAGTTCGATAAAACCACAGTTCGTTATATAACCGTACTTCACGGTACTATTATGATGTGTGGTGTGCCCTTATAAAGATCATTGCCCTGTTCTACAAAGCGACCGTAACGCTATGTACTTCTAAGTCAGTGGTCAAGTATGGGAGTTACGACCATCCTAGCTCTACGATCGCTTCCTCCAACGAAGGCCTGACCTGCGAGGTGCCTCTCTTGCGTCATATCATTATTAGTACTATTAATACTTTTAATACTTCCCTGCCAAGACCAGGAATCGCTCTTCCAAGATGCACATGGGGCACGGAGCCCGGACAGTTGCACACAGGGGGATCAGAAGTTTAGAAAGCGCTCTTCCTTTGTACATGAGGGACAATGGACCTTTCTTTTAGTATCACACAGGGGGCCCCGGGATTCCTGCATCGGGGATTCTAGTGTGTTTCGAGAAGTCATCTTGCAGAGGTCAGATGTCCAGTCAACTATTGTCGACAATCGACAAACGAAATCGGAGACTGGTGAGTGTGTTCAGTTTTTTGTTGTTGTTGTCGAAAACACACTCTTTGTTCCAGATTGCAACCTCGAGCCAGAAACGGGGTCATGCAGGGGGTCGCTTCGTCGGTTCTACTTTCACCCTTCATGTGAAGAGTGTGACACCTTCACCTACGGTGGTTGTGGTGGTAATGCGAACAACTTCAAAAGCATCGAGGAATGTGAGAAAACCTGTTTTCCAGGTAATATAAACCGATTACATGCTATATTGCGCTACGCTTTCTTTATGTAGATTTCGTTGTGTGAAACACCAAACGGGTACATCGTGTGTTGCCTTCTTGTTGCGTTACGTAAGTGACACACACACACACACACACACACACACACACACACACACACACACACACACACACACACACACACACACACACACACACACACACACACACACACACACACACACACACATTGCCTTACGTTCATTAACTAATGTTTAAAAGTGTGTTAAACCAAATGTCTGTTAGTGAGTGAGTGAGTTAATAGTAAAGCGCCACTTTTAGGAATACTCCAGCACTATCAGGGCGGGGTTTTGGGGTAGGTGCCTACTGGGTGGGGGTGGAGCTGGGGAAAGGGTTGGGACCACCAGAAATAAGCTTACCAAAGTGTACTCATGTGGTTTTGATGGAAATGGATGCTGGTGTTTCCATGATACCAGTCTTGAAGAGACCAATGCATAAGACTCTACATCTCCATGTCTACTTCTTACAGTCTGCAAACTTAAACCAGTAACCGGACGCTGCAGGGCGGCCTTTCGTCGGTATTTCTACGACCCTGACAGCGAAAGGTGTAAGAAGTTCATCTACGGTGGCTGCGGTGGCAACGCCAACAATTTCAAGACTAAAGCCGCGTGTGAGAAAGAATGTGTCCCAGGTATTCTATACAGACTACTTTCAACATTGCCTTTAAGATTCATGATTTACATCATGTTTAGGTGTGTGACTTCCATAATGACTACCTTATTTTGTTTTTCCTTTTTGTTGTGTTACGTGGTACAGAAGACGCACTACATTATTTTCTCTTATAATGCTGCACGGTATTTTGATATGTCAGATTACACTGTTCGTGTACTGCTACAATATCCTCTAGGTATTGCTTTATGGCGGTCGGGGACCGTGTTTATAGGGTAAGGACCTGGAACAAATTCATATAAGCTCATCTTGAGAGTGTTTTTTACCTTGTTCAGTTTGCGAACTTAAGCCTGAAGTCGGACGCTGCAGGGGGCGGAAACGGAGGTTCTTCTACGACCCTGACACCAAAAGTGTAAGAAGTTCTTCTACGGTGGCTGCGGTGGCAACGCCAACAAATTCAAGACTAAAGCCGCGTGTGAGAAAGAATGTGTCCCAGGTAATATACATATAATATATGCTAAATTGCCTTAAATGTTCATTAAAATATGTTTGGGTGTCTGATGTACCAAATTGTCACAAACAATGATTGTCATAAACAATGATTACTTTGTACATATGTTTACAAGAGGTATGTGTGGCACAGGAGATGGTCACACTACATTATCTGTCTCCAACTAGTGCTGTTGGGAGGTGGGGTAGCCTAGTGGTTAACGCGTTCGCTCGTCACGCCAAGGACCCGGGTTCGATTCCCCACATGGGCACAATGTGTGAAGCCCATTTCTGGTGTCCCCGCCGTGATATTGCTGGAATATTGCTAAAAGCGGCGTAAAATTAAACTCACTCACTCCAAGTGCTGTCAGGCGTTGTACTATGTCAGAATACACTGATCGTCTACTGCTGATAAGTGTACTAGAATGTGTTGTAGGGGGCAGGTGTCAGTGAATGTAGCATAACAACACTGAACAGATCCCTTTGAACAAATTTTGAAAGCCACCTGTTTCTATATCATTCAGTTTGCGAACTTAAACCGAAAGTCGGACGCTGCAAGGCGCGGAAACGTAGGTTCTTCTACAACTCTGATTCCCAAAAGTGTGAGGAGTTCTTCTATGGCGGCTGTGATGGCAACGCCAACAACTTCAAGTCCGTCGCTGAATGTGAGGAAACCTGCATCCCAGGTAATACACATATAATATATGCTACAGCGCGCTACGTTTACATGAAGTCATGTATGTGTATATGGTGTACCAAATGTCTATAGGTTTATACAATGTACAGATATACACGTGAAGGTCCGGGTTAGAATATTGATCTTCAGTAACCCATGCTTGTCCTAAGAGGCGACACATGTCATCGGTTCTCAATTGCGCAGATCGACGCTCATGCTGTTGATCACTTGATTGTCTGCTCCAGACTCGATTATTTACAGATCGCCGCCATATAGCTGGTCTGCGGCGTAAAACTACACTCTCTCGTTCACTATTATATACATATATCAGGTATGTGTGGCACAGAAAAACTAATGTTATTGTTATGAGCCAGATCACAGTTATTGTCCTCATTATTATTATATGATTGCAAGGTTCCATTGTGGAGGTCGGGTGACCAAGATACCAGAAATAAAAGTTCCACTAACACTATCTTATATTCCATCTGTTTCGTCTTCATTCAGTTTGCAACCTTAAACCAGAGGTCGGACGTTGCAGAGCGGCGATCCCTCGGTTTTTCTAACGACCCTGACACCGACACTTGTAAGAAGTTCACCTACGGTGGCTGTGGTGGCAACGGCAAACAACTTCAAGACCAAAGCCGAGTGCGAAGACAGATGCGCCTGATCTCATACTTGAATAAAGTCGTGATATCCCATTGGGCTTTCCTGTATTGTTTATCAGAGAGAGGGCGTGTAACAAACGGTCGATTTCCAAACTACCAGTTAACCAGAAATGAAATGTGAAACCAACACATAACAAAGATATGTTACCCAGATACAAACGTAGTAATTATAGCAATAGAGACAGAGATGATAATTTCACTGCAACTCTGGTCAGGTTTCCGAAATGCGTATAATACATGTAGGTTATGTACGTGAGCATGTAGTGAGTGAGTGAGTTTAGTTTTACACCGCACTCAGCAATATTTCAGTTATATGGCGGCAATCTGTAAATAATCTAGTCTAACAAAATAAACCTAGGCTCAGTATTATTCGTTACACTGCTTATACTGAGTCTAACAAACTCTAGTAGAAGGTGGCGTCAGCTAACCTTTCAATTGACCAATCAGAACACAGCTTACTAAATCGCAAAAGTTGACATTCGCACATATTTTTGAACTTTTACCTCGAAAAAGTTTGTACCCGAACGATTCCGAATGCTATTTTCCGTACGATTGCTTCCGAGTGATGCAAATGGAGCACGCCACTACAGTGAGTAAACAGACGCTGAAAATAGCGTTTTTGTCAATATTCAAGGATGTCAGCTTGCGGAAATATCAGTATAGCAGTGTAACGAATAATGCTGAGCTTAAGTTTACTTAGACTGTAAATAAACGAGTCTGGACCAGACAATCCAGTGATCAACAGCATTAACATCAATCTACGCTTTTCGGAAATGATGACATGTGTCAACCAAGTCAGCGAGTCTGACCACCCGATCTCGTTAGTCGCCTCTTACGACAATCTCGGGTTACTGAAGATCAGTTCTAACCCGTATGTTGTCAAAGCAAGTTGACTATGAATGCTGTTGGATTACTGCGGCTGAACTAATTGCGGGATTCTGTTTACTATGGTTTCAATATGAAATAACAGTGAAGCTTTGGCGTGTAAACGTAGACTCATTCACAAATACATGTATACACTGAAGATAATTTCTAACCCGGATCTTCACGGGTGTGTAAGTATGTAACCCACTATCTATCAGTCCAACTCTCAAACACGTATACACACACGCACCGACGCACACATGCGCATGTTTCTCATAGACTGAGAGTACACAGACTGGCAATAAAAACGAGTAACTATATACTAGGTCGTCATCAGACCACCAATGTCCCAATCCACATGGTGACAAGTAGCATATAGGGTGGGAGCGGAACCTGCTTTGGTTGATCCCGTTGACCCGATAATGTATGCAGGATAACCCATGAACATGTTAATGTAGGCATGACGTCACAGGTCAGGAAAGGTCAATGAAAGGTGGATGTTTGAATGCGTTCATGCTTTCTTACAGAAACCCTTTTATGAGACGAGAAAACAAAAGCAAAGTATAACGAATATAGCTATGTATAGCGTACTGCCCTTAGTAGACAGACAGCACCTGTCAGACCAGTTTGAATTGAGCGCCCTTTTGACAACTCACGTGAACCCGTCGTTTCAAATAGCCCGCGCTAGAGCGTGTGACCTGTTTTGATGAATACAGGGAATTGTCTGTTGAAAGCTGAATACAGCGTGTGTTGAAAGTAGATCTACCACAACGGAGACGGGTGGTATCAACGTGTGTGTGTGTGTGTGTGTGTGTGTGTGTGTGTGTGTGTGTGTGTGTGTGTGTGTGTGTGTGTGTGTGTGTGTGTGTGTGTGTGTGTGTGTGTGTGTGTGTGTGTGTGTGTGTGTGTGTGTGTGTGTGTGAAAGCTAAAACTGTTGTATTAAGGTCAGACATGCCTTATCACAGTTCACGAATATGTTACTATGTCCTGGAGTCGGAATGTACAGGAAAGGGAGAAAATACGTCAGTTACACAAATAACAACAAAGGAGAGATTTGGTCAGATTACAGATTAGCGTATGTCATTACTTACACAGTCTTACTTAAACAGTTCGGTAAAGACCTGAGTAGCTATCAAGGCTTGACGATGACTGCTAGGTATTTATGTCTGCCTGAAAATGTCATCTTTCCAAACTTGATCGCATTCAGTCAAAGATTTTGCGAATATGCACGGGTGACTTTGTAACTACCCCAGTTACAGCTCTGGATGTGTAGAGATCACTCCATTTCTTCGTCGTGAACTCATGTCTCTCGAATTGAAAAATTCTAAAACCATCTATCATTCATCTATAATTGTGAACAGTTGTGTAGAGTATGTCGTGTGCGACTCGTCACGTGGCAAGGTCCCTTTTACTTTGAGTATTCAGAAACTTGCCACTAAGCATTAAGCAATGGCTTTAGAATGCAATCCAGTTGATTACCCTGCTCCTTCAGATACTCCTTGACTGCTTCTGAAATCAGGTCTTTGTTATGATCTGAATTCAGCCATACCCAACAGAGGGGCGGTGGGGGTAGCCTACCTAGTGGTTAAAGCGTTAGCTCGTCACGCCGAAGCCCCGGTTTCGATTCCCCACATGGGTACAATGTGTGAAGCCCATTTCTGGAGTCTCCGCCGTGATATTGCTGGAATATTGCTAAAAGCGGCGTAAACCTAAACTCCCTCACTCATAAACAAAAGAATGGATTCAAGTGTTATAGAAGCTGTGTCTCAGGATTTTATAAGTCACCAGTACGCCAACTTCACACGGTCTTGGTTCGAAATACTGGGGCATATTGATTCAGACTAACTGACCATCTCTCAGTATTTGCTGGTGTACTCATAGATTTTCCTACGGGTTGTACATGAATGTGATCAATAGGCAGTTATAGTTACTCCATGGCAGCTGTTAAGGCACCCGCATCTGGTATCAATAGTTCAAGAAGTGACATTGTTTATGAGATATTAAAACTGGATACATTGATGAATTTATATACATGTAATGTGATACTGTGTTGGGCTGGAAGGAAATGAGACAGCAGAGTCAACTTGCAAAATCTGGCTTGCAAAATCCTGAAGAAACGCTATCGGAATTCAGAACCCAACCAAGCATATTCAGTCTAAGTAAACTTAGGCTCAGTATTATTCGTTACACTGCTATACTGAGTCTAACAAAACCTAGTAGAAGGTCGCGTCAGCTAACCTTTGGATTGACCAATCAGAACACAGCTTACCAAATCGCGAAAGTTAACATTCGCACATACCGTTTGAACCTTTACCTAAAAACCGAACGATTCCGAATGCTATTTTCCGCACGATTGCTTCCTGAGGGATACACGCAATGAGTAAACAGTCGCTGAAAATACCGTTTCTGTCAATATTCAAGGATGTCATCTTGCGAAAATATAAGCAAATACTAACCATATGTCATTAGAAACCCATAAGCGTATATACTGCAGGTCAAATATCTTTTTTATGCGGATTTTCGTTTGTTGATAGATCAGTGTCAGCGACCAGGGAAGAGAAAATCCAAAAAAACCGTTTTGTAAGTCCCGCCGAACCCTAACAAGTAGTCGTTGTCTGATTGGTTAAATCAGGGATAATCTACAACAAGCGTCTTACAGTCTTCCTGGTTAAATCGTTAGGGCAGACAGACAGACAGATTATTTATTAAAGTCTCAGCCCTGTTATACATATATACAAACTAATTAAACATATATTTACATAGGGCCATTCCATACGGAATTATGAGAGACTAAAATTCTTTAAAATTGCATGTACATGTATTATGAATAACAATAATTAAAAGTTATATAATACGGATTTTCTCCTTTTAAAAACAACATGGCAGGTTTGGCAGCTATAAAACAAATATTGCTATTGGACAGGATAAAAGCAGTTTTTTTGTATATCAGTAAGATTACTAAAATTCTGACATAGGCTATCACAAGTATTTAAAAGACTAAAACGTTCATCCCTATAAACCGGACAATCAATTAAAACATGAACTTCGTCTTCAACACAGTGTTTACAATAAAAACATTTTCTGTCGTTGAGTGGAATATTGTTGTATCTACCCAGTTCAATATTAGTTGGTGCAGTGCCGGATCTAGAACTTAGCCTTAGGCCTTCTCGCGTTTGATTAGGACGGTCATAGGTCGCTCAAAGGTTAGCTTGAGCGACCTTCAACTAGAGTTTTTGTTAGACTCAGTATAGCAGTGTAACGAATAATACTAAAGGCTAAGTTTACTTAGACGACTGCATATTAGTAACAAGAGTTTGTGGGATGCTGGGACTGATGGCTGACACATGTATTCATATAAAATCAAACGCGAGGAGGTCATAATTACTGGATAATGTGGATTAAATGCTTACAGCAATGTCACTAATACAGAGTGTGATGAAAATACTCTCGAGACAGTGAAACATTATATAATTGAATGCC